CTAGTTTTTGATAAGTCATGCTCATTTAGGACGTCAAATGCAGTGATTTTCATGGAGCTGGTAGCTGTGAGCAATTTTTAGAGAGCGCCTTCAAATGGCGACCCTAATGCCATTCCTAGTAGTTGTCCAGATAAGACTCAAATCCGCGGCTTAACTCAGAAAAGATCAATCAATGTGTAGTTGTCCTCCTTACAAATATGCTGGCATGAATACCAGTGCATCATAGCACATTGTGTAGAACTTAAAGGCATATATTGCCTCCCTCAAAGATTTTGAGTGGAAATTGAGTGCACGTCTCATCCCAGATCGAGGTCTAACTGAACTTTTTCTAATAAAATAGGAGAATGCATGAATTCCAGTGTCGATAGGACTTCAATGGGGAAATGGCTTCTATCGCTTGATTACTTCAAAAAGAAATCACAGCGAAAAAAAAAGAATAAAAAATGCAATGAATCATCTCTTCACCTCAAGGGTTATGCCTCCGTACTCGAGATTTGACTGTGCCATCAGATTCAGGTATATAGCATCAAATGGCTTCAGCTTAGCGCTGTCGAAATAGCCATGTGGGAAGAGGAACGGAGGATCGGCCGGCTTGTGAACGAAGGATGATAACAAGAAGAACAGCCAAAAACCATAGGAAATGGACCATTCGATGGTGTCACGCCGGCAGTCGATCGAGCGCAACAACGATAGGTGGCGCCACGGGTGAAACACGTTCCTCTCAGGCTATGAGAAGTGCGGCCAGCGATGGATTACGTAAGCGCCTTCTGTGGTGAAGGTGTTGGGAAGCCAGTGACGAGAAACAAAAGCTAGTTTCGCGTGATCGCAAAACGTCACATAATGAGGCGATCATTTATCTTATCGTTCTTTTCTAAGGCTACAGCCCTGCAAAAACATTTTTTGTGCAACAAAGACCTCAAAAAGAAAGGTGGTCATCTCAAAAAGTGGTATGAAAATTTGTACACCTCCTCATGTGCATGTATACAAAAATTAACAAAAATATCGCGCTCCGGAGCAAAGAGCCAAGAGCAATCACGAAAGCTTCAGACGTGGAATTAGCTCCACTTTTAGTTTCGCCAAGTGGAAGTTAGCGACGCTTTGCGATTACTATACTCTGATCGTTCGCTTTCGTTCAGAAGTGCACTTATACAAGCAGCCTTTAGGACAGGTATTCGTAAATCTATGAAGATAAACTGTCAAAGGACGGTGCATCAACCGCTCAAAGGGACGTTCACGCTGGAAAGATAACCATTAGGTACTAGCGATGATGAGTTGTAAACAAAGAAGGAATAAACATGAGAGACTGCAGACCGCGACCCCAAACACCCACGAAGAACTTATTGCCGTGATTGAGCTTGATGCGACTCTTATCGCTGGCCTCTTCAACACTACGCTCTTACTACTAAATCACTCGCACGGGTTAGACCTGCGTGGAAGTGATTATCATGGGGCATTGCTGCACCCGGCCAGATTGATCGGTTGGAAGCGTTGCACGGCCAGACCGCCCCAAGATTGAGCAATATTAGTCGCGAGTCAAATCATCGGGTGCAATGCGGCCCTTACTCCGTACCCTCAGGAGGTTCGCGGGCTTTCTCACTATGTGAATTACCTTTTCGACTTTCACTCTGCATCGTTGAAATGTCTGGTAACCAAGGGGGACGGCTTCATTTCTGGGGTCGCCGCCCCATAGTGAAGTGCGTGGACGCTTCGTACATTACTACAGACGACTACTCGCATTCGAGCTTGTCGTTTCAAAATGCGCCTTATTATCAAGCGCCTTTAGATTTAAGTATCGATACATCTATAAGAATAAACTCGCTCCAAAGCGGCAGTACATCACCGCTTAAAGTCAACGGCGTAGGACGGGCTGCCATTCTGGCAGGATCTAACGTTTATTTTTTCTGATCTTCTTTCTCCATTGCCACTTCACTCGTCATACTCTTGCGAACATATCATCGTTTGATAGCAACATGATCCGTCCAGCAGGTTTTCAACCATGCGAATACTAGGGGGTGGGAAGCATGCCCTAGCCTTAGTCAAAGTACATAGAAAATGGTCGACTGTCTGGAAAACTCACCTTTTGAAAGCCGTGGTCGTTAAGGGGTCTGAAGGCCGAATGTCAGACTTTGCGACATCGCGCGGCGATTGAACATACTCTCTCGCACCTCCCCGTTTCTTCGTCTCGCAGCCGCCTATTTTATTTCGGCAATTACCACGGGCGGCCTCATGAAGAAAAATTTTGTCGTGTCTCTGTTGGTGTTTTTGCTTTTCCCCCAGCTAATGATTCTTCGCTTTTTTGCCCCAATTTTTTTAACAATAAATAACACCCCCAACTCAGACCCCGACTTGATACCTGTGTATCCAGTTTTATAATACTCAACCCATTCAATCTATGTGAGCCTCAAGAGATATAGCCCGTGACAGGCTGTGATTTAGTATGCCTTGAGCGATCCACCTAAGTTAAAAATCAAGTTAACATGCGGATGCGAAAGATGCAATATGCACAGATATAGTGTAATAAGGCTGCAGCTTTCGAAAACATTCTCGTCGTTCCAATACCAGCAGCTTTTGCAGGAATCAAATGATAGAGCACACAGCGGCTAGAAAGTTGCGCCATTTTGAAGAGCCACGCGGATTTCAAATCGGTCTTTGGACCGAACCCTCTGAGCTCCCCCTACCAGGCTCTTAAACTATACATGCGAGACTAAATCCCTTGTCCAGAAGCATGCAGTCCATCCAGCCTTTACCACAGCTAACGAAGGGACCAAAGGAACAGTTATGCTCCACGATCAAAAGAAAGTCGTATGTTTTCATCGCACATCTCGAAAAAATTAATGGGCACGCCAAAATTTAATATCATTTGCAGAACAATTCGCAACTACAAAATACCGTTATACGCTTAGTGCAAATCCGACAACTCAATCCGTGTGTCGCTGGACAGCCCTGTTCAGTGACCAAAATTTTCAATTTTCTCATTTGTAATCCTATGCCTTGATTGCCCAAGCAAAAACATAAGAGAAATGGAAATGCCGAAATTCACTGGAGATGTTTACGAAGCAGCGATTACAGAGGGTGTTAGAGGTATGTAACACATCTCACAGCCTGAGGGCCGCCACTTTGGGCCGGCCTAACAACCTGCCAGCTCCTGGAGACGATGAAGCCGACCATATGGTCTGCCAACTGATAATCGCTAATGTCAGGTGCTACGAAATGGAACCGATATGTTGGCAAACCTCGCCATATCAGCTGAAATGCCGTTCTAAATTCCTTCACGGGCGAACGTGAATAGAAATGTCCTTTTTCGTACCACTTATCGTCGTTTTGATCCGCAAACTCCTGTTACTTGTATATGTTTAGTAATCTTTACGCATTGGACATTACAGAAATTAATTTGTACATCTGTTTCTGTTCATTTACAATACAAAAATCTGCGATTATCGCTGATGATCGGCCGACGACGCCACAAAATCGCGTCCGTTCCCACGCCGACCTGAATAGTGCGAAGAAAGGGCGTCGTCGTGAATGTGTTAAAGGAGACGTATGGTGCTCAATGGTACGCCAGTGTCGAAAAAAGCGGAGAATTCCGTCAAGAAACCGCAAAACGGGACCCTTTTTCTCATCGTTCTTTTTCACTCATGACCAGGTAACAGCTCAGAAAGCGGAGTATGAACGAGTTCATCGCAACGCATTTGGTGGCACCATGCCAAACCACTCTCCAACCGAGCTGCTCCAGTTGTGCCGCTGCAACGTAGCTCGTCCAAATCACCAACTAAACTAGTGAGTGCGGTTCTAGGGCGGAGTGCTTTTGAAGTCCTGCTCTGAAACCAGGCACTTTTCGTCTTAAATGTACCACACGTCACTTCCTTGGCAGCCAAGTAACTGCATATACTTCCCCGATGCGCTCCCTCTTTATCGTAATCGCTTCCTTTAACAATCACAAGGAAGAATTCAGGTTACCTCGAGAAGATGATAGAGAATACGATCACATACTGTACTTCATAATGAAAATGAATTCTACAAAACAACAGATGAACAAATCGCACACAAAGATCTCATCCATTTATCAAGTAATCTGTATGAGTAGAAGTGAGATAGAAAATTGAGATCCATGGCATTTAACCCACTGTATGGCCTGCCAAGGAGTGCACATCAAGGAGAAATCGGCTGAGGTCGCTCTTGGAAAGATCCTGCAAGAGAAACTGTATAACACTGACCGTGAGATACTGACTGGAAACTGAACACGCTTTTTTTAAGAATGAAGTAACTCTGATAAGGCCACTAATAAGTAGCGCGTGCCAAGTCAAGGATTCCGAAATTGGGATCGTTCGGATCTCCGTGGGAGAGCTATCCTACTACGTGAATTAAAAGTGTGATTTTGGAGAGAAGAAACGGGGTGTTTCGGTAAGATTATGAGTTTCTAAGAAACTTCATGAAACCGCAAGAACATAGCCCTTTCCATTACCCCATGATGGACTTTTTTGGAAAAATCAAGTAAAGTTATATGTATTATAGACCAAAGGGAGGAGTAATACGATGGGAGTACGATCCAAAAGCGGAAAAAGGGAAGTCATCAAGGTAAGCTTGGGAGAGAGGGAAGGGGGATGGGAAACACTTGGTCCACCCTGCTACTAAGCAAGGCAGTGGATCGCAGTGTCCTACTGAGGCCGATTTCTTTCGACTGCGCACTCATCTCAGCCATTATGAGAATTCAAAGGCGGCGTATTCCACAACGAGGACCGTCTTCTTTCACCTTCAATAGGTGTTAGACGAATATGTAAAGACCGACATTAGTGAGTATCATTACTGCAATGAATTGAAAACGAAAAACCTTAACACCTTGAATAAAAGCTCTAGTCGCTCGTCAGCCCGCCACCCCACCACCCGCACCCCGGCCAGTTTACCCCCCAGCACCGCAAACGTCTTAACAGATATTTGTGTCATTACAACATTCTAGATCACGTATCAGCAAGGACATTAGGCATATTCGCGGTAACTGCTTTTCATGCAGATGGCCCTTCAGCTGTTTCTGATGCGCCCCAGTCCTAGAAATAGGGTATTTCACTCAACAAAAATTGCAATAATAGTGAATAAAAATTAGCTATCATTTTAATGAAAAAAAACCGTAATTGCGCGTTGTGCCCTAGTTGTATATATTAGCGAACTTGACACTGGGCCGTAAAGTATGTTTTCTCCGACCAGGAAGAGGCTTCTCACTGGTAAGGCTATGCTCAACACACAAGTGACAACGGCATCCTAAGTTGAATCTGGTGAGCTATGGAGTAATGAGAGCTGACAGAATACAACTGACATATCGCTAATCATCCAATAGCATGAAACATGTGCATATCTGTAAAGCTGTCCGTAACTTTGGTAATGAGATCACTATGGAATCAGAAGGAAAAGAAAGCAACGCAGGTAACTTCCACACGGTTATCTAAATGATTTAAGCAACATCCTAGTAGCTAGTCAATAATCGAAGAACTATAGTTGGGCTGAGCATACGTGTAGACCCATGAAGAGTGGCATCAGATAATCATTTCAGTGATCGCTGTTCAGATGCCGTTTTCATCCCATATTAAATCTGCGTTGTATCTGGATCTCGAGCTCGTTCTTTCCCATTATTTGTCTTAGATTGTGTATTAGATTGTCGCCCTCCCTTTGGAGATGCACCACATACGGTTTCCCAGCGTTTGGTATAAGCACAAAGTTATCAATAAGAAACCATAATCTCTCATTTAGCCACCGTTTCGTAGAAAATGTTGGGCTTGTGGCTCGTCTGACGACGGTGAGAACATTCTAAGTGAAGAGAAGTAGTGCAAAACCATCAACAACTGTCGACCAAATTGCACTAGGGGATACACTAACCTCTTCTGTCTCTGACCTCCAGCCTGGATGTCGCACAAACGCTGTGATCGCATCAAATGTTCGCTAGAAAAAACCTTCAGCCACATAGCATCGAACAAACTGAAATTCACTGTTTGATGTCGTCACTCACCGCTTTGCACGCATCGAGGGCCAGCTTGGAGCGTTCAACAAGTGTCTGGTTGTGCTCAGCGCGAGCAGTTCGCTGCGACAACCCTACTAGATCACCTTGGCGAGACCATTCATCACATTCAAGTTCATCTTCGGCTTTCCTTCGCGCAGCTTCATGGGCCCTTGCACATTCCACGGCAAAATTGGTAGAATGAGCTTGAGCGTTCTACAAAATTCTCGTGAAAATTTACAGCTAATTTCTACTGAAAATCACTTCTGTTTCCATCAACCCTAGTACATACCAAGTATAAGCAGTGATTGTTGTACTCGTCAATAGCAATACCCGCTGTAGTTGCCCATTGTGACGTTTCATCACTGTTCTCATTCTTTACCAGTGCAGCAAGGCGATCCACCAATTTCAACTGCTCACACCTATCGATCAGAGCGCTCGCCTCATCTTCCATATCACCTACTGCAAACAACAACTGAAGACTAACGCACGGATTCTAAATTCATCAGTGAAGGCTTACGCAAATAATAGCGCAGAACACCATTGGTTTCGGCGATGGCATTCAAAAGCTTCTTGTCGCCACAGGCGTATATCCAGCGCAGAAGATCGCCATGGTCAACCATTTCCTGGAAATGTGATTTCTATACTTAGCAGCTAAAACTCTCTATAGAAATGGGACGCACTCACCACGACGCGGAATTTACCAAACTCAAAAGCAATGTGCTCGCCATCGAAGCCAGCATCGTTGAGAGCCGCAATGAACGCTATGCGATCAGCGTCGGTTTTCACGTCTGATATTTACATAAAATTAATTAGATAAAGTGAAATGACTAATAAACGAATCTGGGAAAAGCTTCAAGAAAACCTCGAACGACTTATAGATCCCAAGCCAAGTAAGTCGAGAGCATCATTCACAGGAACAATAACCGTTTCTCATGGTTTTTCAGACTGGCAGCAGTACTAGAGACCAACGGGGAGAGGAAAAGTCGTGTATTTCCTAACAAGATCTCAAGTCTGGCGTTTTACGAGCCAAATTCTCTTGCAAGACATTCCTTCCAAAAGAACCACGTCATGCCA